TGCTGATAAAAATAACCTAAACTATTTTGACTATTAGCATTTTCATTTTTAGCAGATTTTAAATACCATTCAAATGCTTTCTTTTCATTTTTTTCAATTCCAATACCATTAAGATAACAATAACCTAAACTATTTTGACCATTATCATTTTCATTTTCAGCAGATTTTAAATACCATTTGAATGCTTCTTTTTCATTTTTTTCTGTTCCAATACCGTTATGATAACAAAAACCTAAACAAAATTGACCACTAGCATTTTCATTTTCAGCAGATTGTAAATACCAATTGAATGCTTCCTTTTCATTTTTTTTTATTCCGATACCAAATCGATAACAGTCACCTAAACTATTTTGACCATTAGGACTTCCATTTTCAGCAGATTTTAAATACCACTTGAATGCTTCCTCTTCATTTTTTTCTATTCCAATACCTTGTTGAAAACAATAACCCACATTATATTGACCTTTAGCATTTTGACAATTAGCAGATTTTAAATACCATACAAATGCTTCTTCTTCATTCTTTTCTATTCCGATACTATATCGATAGCACTCCGCAATCTTAAATATTGCATCTAAATGTTCCTTTTTAGCCGCTTTTTTGTAAAATTTAAATGCTTCACTCATATCTAATTCAATTCCTATTCCATTTTCATGACATCTACCTATATTGTAATGCGCAATATTATATCCATTATCAGAGGATTTTTTATACCAATAGTATGCTTTAATTACATTTGTTCTTGTTCCTTCTCCATTTTCGTATAACTTTCCAAGTATATTTTGAGCAACTTTATGTCCTTTTATTGCAGCTTCTTTATAAAATCCAAATGCTTCCTTATTATTAACTTCATTTCCTATTCCATTTAAATAAAAATGCCCAAGTTTAAGTAATGCATCTAAATGTTCATATTCCGCTGCTTTTTTGTAAGAATCAAAAGCTTTTTTTTTTGAACCTATTTTAAATTCATAGCATAGACCTAAATTATAATGTCCATCTTTGCAATCATTTTTTGCAGATTTTTTGTACCATTTAATAGCTTTGTTTAAATCCTTTTCTACTCCTTCACCATTTTCATATAATATTCCAAGATTATTCTGTGCAATTTTATGTTCCTTTTCTGCTGCTTTCAAATAGTACTTAAAAGCTTCTTTTTTAGTAACCATAATTCCTAATCCTTTACAGTAACAATTTCCAACTTTAAATATTGCTTCTAAATGTTCTTTATCAGCCGCTTTTTTGTAATTATCAAATGCCTTAACCATATCTTTTTCAACGCCTATGCCATATTCATAATATTTGCCTAAATTATAGCATGCTTCTTTATCTCCGTTTTCTGCCTTATATTTAATCTGAGAAATTGAATTTACCACATCAATTTCCATATTTTTACTATATATATATAAAGTATTAAGAATGTTCTTTCCTTCCATACTTTTATTTTCTGCTGATTTTTTAATCCAATCAATTGCTTCATTTAAATCTTTATTTGTTCCAATACCACTTTTAAATAATAATCCAAGTTTATTTTGTGCGTAAACATTTTCTTTTATAGCAGCACGTTTATAAAACTCAAATGCTTTTCCCTCATCAAGTTGAGTTCCTATTCCATTAATATAACAATATCCTAACATTACTAATCCATCAGTATAATTTTCATTGACTTCTGATAATTGCTCAAAATAATTAAAAGCTTGTAAACTATTTATCTTTGTTCCTATTCCATTTAAATAACAAATTCCGGTGTAATATTTTGCTAAATCATGATTTTGACTTGCAGCATCATGAAATAAGTCAAATGCACTATTATAAACTTCTTTTGTAATAAAGCAATAAACATATCCAAGTAAAAAGATGTTCTTCGAATTATTTTGATTATTTAATAGCCAATCAATAATATCCGATAGGCTTATACCATTATTGGTGATATAATTGTCAAGTATTACTTGAATTTTTTTGTTTTCGTCAAATGTAAAATTCTTTTCATTTAAAAGATAAGAAATTATCTTTTCAACAATAACGTTTAAATCATTATTTTCATTAACAGTATCCATTGATACAATTCCATTTTCGGTATTTAATGAATATTCAATAAAATTTTCATTTGTAAAAACATTTCCAATTAAATCGAAAGGATATTCATCTTCTTTATTATCGATCCTCAATTTTTTAGTATCTGAAAATAAGATACAAATATGCAATTCTATCGAAAAATTCTCTATTAAGAGGTTATCTTCATATTCAATACCAACTTCATTTTCATTCATACTTAAAGCTTTTAAAATTGAATTAGAACGAAAGATAATGGAATTACATGACCATTTTATGAATTCAACTATATTTGCAGGTTCATCGTTTATCGGTGGATGGTATGCGTTAATTGAAATCATATATCCTTCAGATAATTGAAAAGGAGTTTTAACTTCATAATAAAATTTATCTGGTTGCAATAAAATCGATTCATCAATAAAAATGATTTGAAATTCTCGATTTTTAGGACTGAATACTGACAATTCCGGTAATTTTGAGGGTTTTCCGATAATCATCCACAAAATATGAAATTCTGTAATTTTTGTAATTTTAGAATTCGGAGTTTCAAGTTTTTTTATAATCGCGGTAAATCCTTTAAAATCCTTTAATCTAAATTTTACAGAAAATTCTTTTGATTTTGTCATTGTTTGTTCATTTGATATTATCGAACCGAAAACTTCATAGTTTTGATGATTTAATGATGGGTTAAGACTTATACGCTTATAATGTTCAATATTATTATCAGATAAATCTTTCAAATCATCTATTCCAACCATTATAATTTTGTATTCATCCTCAAGCATAACATTAATATGTTTTTGTAATTTCACTTGAAGAATGTCGTACAAAGTAATGACATCATCATACTCAACAATTTCCAAATCTTTGTCATCTTGAATGAAATCGGAAAAATCATCAATTTTATCTCCTTTTTGAGTTAATAGATCAAAAGTCTTTAAATACGATTTGACGGATTCAATTGTTGACATTTTTGAAAATTCTTTAGGAGAAAATTTCGTTGAAGTAAATTTAAAAGATTTTCCTAAAATAATTTTTTGTGGAAACAAATGACCATATTCATTAAATACGTCTTGTAAAACTTTATATGGTTTCATATCTTTGATTCCTTTTTCTATATCCTGTTTCAACTCTTCTGAAAGTATAATATCGTTCCAATGTAAAATTATCTCGTATTGCTTATAATTAATAAAATGAAAATCATCTAAATTATCTTCATAAATTTTCAATTCATCATTAATCATCATAGATATGTTGTTGTTAAATACATGCAAATTTTCTTTTTTAATTGAAGAAATTTTATTAGAAAACAAAAATATTTCAAATTGATTTGTCGGCTTAAGTTTTAAATCAAAACTATCCTCTAATTCTAAACAAGGATATTGGATTAAATCTATGGCGACCTTTTTGGCAATCTCTAATTCATAATTTTTATTAATTCTCAATCCTTGAAGAAGATTGAAATTATTAATCCATCCGGGCAAGTTAACATAAATTGAATCTTTTATCCATACTTCTAAATTCAATCTTTCTTTATAATTAGAAACTTTGATAACTTTTTCATTAAAATCACTTGTCAGTTGCGTAGAAGCTTCATTATATTGTAATTTTGAAACAGGAATAGGACTAATATAAGAAATTATATCGATCATATTTTCTTGGTACATATTTTTCATCCAATTAACCAACTTTTCAGTAGTTGTTATTTCATTTCCATCCGAAGTTTCTATCTTTGGTTCAAGTTGCAAGTTAATGAAATCGTATAATTGATTTTCTTCGTATTTAGCTAAATTATATGCCCAGCTTAAATGCATTTTTAAAAGATGAATTTGTGTTTTGGTTAACGTGTTAAAATTTTTAATAAATAATTGACCACCAACTAAAACATTTTCTGAAAAAAAATGACCATATCTCTCATTTAATTTTCCATCCTCATTTTTACAATTTAAAAAAGTTTCTAATAAATTTCCTTTAAAAGTGATTTCAGCAAATGGGAAATTAATACATGTATCATACTGTTGAAACGAAGGTTTAAAATTATTATTAGGTTCGTTTATATTAGTATATATTATAGGTTGTCCATCATATACATTAATATCCAATTCACCGTTAACGTTATAAATCGCCTCTTTACTAGGTTTCATGGTATCACCATCCAAGAATAATCCATGATTGAGCTTCAATTTTTGAATTATTTCTTGATCAGTAGATAATTCATTTTCTTTATCTACAATGGAAACAAGCAATTATTTTATAAGAATATAAAACCAAAAAAACCTAAATTAATTCAAACTTACCTAAATCTAACTTTAATTGATCTAAAGTTTTTAAAACATTTTCAACAATTGGCCTTTGATCGGGATCTTCTACCCAACAATTTCTGTAAAGTCGTTGATATTTTATAGGTGTATTTTCAACAGAATCCTCTCTTAGACCATTAAGAATTTCATATCTTAATTGGTCGTCAGACAGTTGAAGCTTTGAATAAGGAGGACATCCACTTGATAATTCCCATAAAAGAATGCTTAAACTATATATATCAGATTTCATATCAAGCTTGTAATTTACGGGATCAAAAAGATATTTTGGATCAGTATATCCTACTTTTGGCTCTGACACATCAAACAGGTGTGTATTTGCAATCTTTAATTTACCATCATTAATCAATATATTTATTGCGTGCTTTTAAAAATATGGTTAACATAAAGGTAGTGTTAATACTTTTAAGATATTAATAACGCAATATTCTAGTCAATTATTACTTACCAGATTTCTATGGATGATATTCTCAGAGTGCAAATACTTCAACCCTTGGGTAATATCTAATGCCATTTCGATCCTTTTGCTCCAATTTAATGTGACAAATTGTTTTTTTAAATATTCTCGCAAGTTCCCTTCATTTGCATATTCCAACACCGTAATGTCATTTCCAAGTGGATCTATTTTGAAATAATAGATGTTAATATTTTAAGGTTAATTAATTTAAATTTCAAAGCAATCAAACCTTTTGTCGTTCCAAGAAGGTGATAATTAACATTACAAAGTTGTTTTATCTGAAAATATTGTTATTAATAAAATAATTATATATTGTCAAATAACAAATTATGAAATATTTCTTTACCTCTAGAAGATTTGAACTTATTAGCGCAACTTTATTATAGTTTTTTGTCCAATCCGCTTTACAAATCACGCTTTTCTCTCCTTTACCAATTCCGATTATAGTTTGTACTTCCCTATTTTCGAGATATTTAATTCTTTCTTTTTCATTTGAACTCGTCATTTTAAAATAAATCGGAGTGGAAAAGTTAATAATTAGTCAGGATGATCCATGTCTGATTTTGTTTAACCTTGTGGTCCGTTGTACTAAAACAGAACGCCAATGGTTTTTTTTGTTTGGTTTGTAACAATATTTACAATATTTACATTATGTTGAAACAATTATGAAAATCAAAGTAATGGTTACACTAAATAAGAGGCTTGCATCAAAATAAAAATACAGTAAAATTACAATATCGATGAAGTGTTAATTATTCTAAGAATTGTGATTATACCTAATAATGTTAGTGACTTTTTTGACTTTTGATGGAATGAAATTGCTTTCCCAATTTCAATAATTAAATGTTTAAGCTGTAAAGTTATTTAGTAATCTAAAAAAAAGATCGTTTTTAAATTTGTGCGACGTCAATTAATTGCTTGACTAAATTCTAAATTTGACATTTCTATTTACAGAATATGCGGAGATAAGTTCAATGTACCTATTTGTTACACTTTTTAGTTTTTTATTAAGTACTTTGAATTTTTTTACGGTGGCATAATCCTATTTGTCAGGCCCCTTATTCGTAACTAAGTTTAATTTCTTAATGCCGTAATGCCGGCCAAAACAACTCCGCTCAGACTGACCTTTACATATGAATCACGAACATTTTCCGGTGTTAACCCGATTTTGAACCGAAACCAGATTAACCAAATCTCGTCCTAAGAAAGATTTATTCAACTTTTAATACGATTCTTTGTGTAGTTGTCGTCTATATGAGAAACAATAAAGGTTAGAAGGTAAGGGATAGAACTTTATTAAACTTCAAAATTTCGGGTTTATATACAAAATTTCTAAATACTAACTTTTTCCATTTAAAATAAATATACGAATATAATAAAAATAATTAATAAAACGAAAATAACGAATAAAATAAAAATATTAATTAATGTTAATCTAGCATTTCGTTATTTTTCCGCAGTTACTGCGCCATTAGTAAATGCCGATCCGGCCTCTATATGATTTAATTTTTTTTAAACGAAGAGAATGTTCTTTTCAAAAAACCTCTTATATTATTTTATAAGGCATAGACTTGAGGTATAATATTATTTTGAAACAGAAAAATCTTTATTAAATTAATTTTTTTTTTTTAACTAATCTGCTTTATAATAAAATTATTTTTAAGTTTTTTTTTACTATTCTTATAAACAATGCATTCTTTTTTACATTTACAAAAAACCTGTTTTAACTTAATATCCTTATTGGTGTATTTTAAAAAAATTGGACAAAAATTATTATTTTTTAAATTTAAACTATAATAATTTGGGTTTGGGTGTTCAATTTTGTTAATTTTGTTATAACGACTTCTGGCTGTTTTATAATCAAATTCATCAATTTGATCATTAGAAATTCTAAGCGTATGAAAACTAAAACCAAATAATTCAACATACTCACTTTTATCTAAATTAAAAGGAAATATAAATACCCCAACAATATTATCTAGATCTGTATAAAAATGATGCCCAATAATTACATGTTGTTGATTTAAATGTTTTAAATCTTTTAAAACAGGAATTCCAAAAAAGTGATCTGAAGAATTTGACTTAATATGCAACGAATTCTTACAAAATTTAGTACTAAAATCTATCTTTTTAACATCGAATCGAATATCAGAACTTAATTCATCATATTTAATAGAATTAAAATCTGTATAATTTCCAATAATCATATATTTAATTTTTAATTTGCATTCATATGGTTTAAGATCTACTCGATAACAATAGACAATATAATTCGGCATTCCACCCTGAGTACAAACGATTTGACAGTTAAAGAAATCGTTTTTTCTGTTCTTTTCATCAAGAATCGTTGCAAAAATACTAAAGTCAGCCTTTTCGTTTTCCATATATTTCAAAATATTTGTTGGTATTTTTTTAAATTCGTTAATACGTGGACTTCTACTTTTACTTAATGTAAACTCACAAGTTTCAATACCTGAGTAAATTTTTCTTTTCCCAATAGAAGTAAATAATTTCTCACGTAAATTTGTAAATTTTGGGATACTGGTTAAAAGTTCAAAAGTATTAATATAATTTTGATATAATAGACCTTCTTTTGAAATCCTTCCACTTATAATAATCTTTGTCGGGATAAATAGGCCAAAATTTTCAATAATTTCTCCAACTTGTTTAGGACTTACTACATCCGTTACTTTGTTAATAAATTCTTTAGTAGGTTCTAAATATTTTCCAAATTCTAAACTGAAATCATTTGATGAGGTATTTTCTACTAATGTACAAAATATAACATCTTTGTAGTTATCTGGATAAAACTTCATCGTAAATGCTCTCTTTTTCGCTATCGAAGAAGTTGTTTCACGTCCCTTAGATCCATAACCTAATTTCAATTTCCATATGTATAGATTATAAGTTTTCTCCGGACCTGCAATATCCCTTATATTGAACGTGGATTCATCTCTAATACCATCTTCACCTAAATAGAATAGTTTTTCATCCATTTTAATTTCATTTTGATTTACGAGTTCTTTGTGAATTTCAAATAAACTATCAACTTTGATCGAAACATTATTTTCCAAAATTAAATTAACCGATATCTTGATGGGATGTAATTCATTCGAATTTCTCAAATACAGATGATAAGTTTTCGCCGAACCTTCTTTGATAACTATATCTCTTAAATTGAACGTAGATTCTTCTTCGGATGAAATAAGACCATCTTTGCTTCCAAAAAATACTCCATCATCCATTTTTATTTCATTTTTATTTGCGAGTTGTTTACGAATTTCTGATAAACTGTCATCAAGTTTCAATTTGACCGGAATTGTTTCTTCCGATACCAAATGAACTGATACTTCTTGTGTCAGATTAAATTTTTTTAATTTAAAAGCCATTTCAAGTAAGAAATTTTTTTGTTTTTAAAAAAAAAATAATTTAATATGAGTACAATATTTATTGTTTTTATATTATTGTCTGTGGTACAAATAAACATCTTTGTTATTATGCATGCATACTTTGTTACTTGCATTTTTAAGTTACATTAAATATATTGTGTGTATCATTCATTCTAATTGGATCAACTTCTCACTTTTTTTTTTAAATAAAAAGGAAAAAAAAAAATAAAATAAATAATAATTAAAACGGCCTGAATCGATTTTCTATAATATTCAATATTTCCCTTTCCAATGTTCAAAAAAAAATTATCAAAGCCAGTCAAAAAGCCAGTCGAAGTCAATCAAAGACATTTGATCGACAAAATTTTGGCTCGGTAAGTTTTGCCTATTTTCAATTGTTAAAAATAAAAAAAAAAAAAATTTTTTTTAACATTTTATTTTTATAGATATTCTACTGAATTCGTAATATATCGGGAATTAATGCAAAATTCTAGTAATCTTCAATTAATTGTTCGAGTAATCGTAATTTACAATTTGTCAATAGATAATTTAATCTTTAATTTTTCGATTTTTAAAGATGATGCTGAATCGAAAAATGTCGAAATTAAATTTCTAACTGCAAATCCAATCACAGATAAAGATATACTAATAAACGACATTAAAACAATTCAATTCAAAAACAATGGAAAGATTTTTCAGCCCCTTGATTGGAAAAGGATTACAAATATTGCTGTTGGAAATCCCGGTGAACAAAAAGTAAGGTGTCGAGTTGCTTGCTTGTTTGTTGTTATTTCAGTTCTTTGATATTTTTTTCTTACAGATAGGGGCTTTCGGCGTCGGATTTTATTCATTATTTTCAATTTGTGAAAATCCATCGTAAGAATAATTTTTTAATTTTATTTTAAAATCAAATAGATTCGAATTAAATTATATTTATTATTGTTAGTGTAATGTCTGGTGGAAAAATGATGAGCTTCGATTGGGAAGGTGATAAATTAAACTATATACAATCTGATGACAAAAGTGAAGGGAATGAAGGGTGGACTATATTTGAAATGGTTCTGAGAAAACCTGATAAAGTAAATATTTACTTATAAATTTATACACTAATATTAATTAACTTTTTAAATTAGTTTCCAATATTAATTAACTTTTTAAATTAGTTTCCAATTTTTGAAGAATTTACACGGTTCTTGGCTGGTTCATTAGTAAGTTTTCTTGAAATTTTGGAATAATTATGTTAGCATTTTTTTATAATTCTTTTAATATATGTGTGTTTTATGAAACAGGCATTTATGAGTGCTCTTCAAGAAGTATCTGTATATTTCAATGATACAAGGGTGATAAATTTGTCAAAGGAATTGTCAGATATGAGCGAGATAGAAATTGCACCTGAAATTAATACTTATTCTCCAAATAAGATGTTTCAGCTTACCAAGTTAGAATATAAAAATATTTATATGAAAGTGACGAGCCCAAAAGAGAATTCAGAGCAACAATCATTAATTACTGACTTTCAAGAAACTTCAATGCTTCTTAAGGTTGCTAATGGAAATTTGAAAATTACGGTCGCAGATGAATTTTCTAAAGAAATGTTCCGAATTATCAAGAAGGATTTGCCAAATGATACAATTATAGATATGATGTTCACCGAATTTCAAAATTATGATAAACTTATTCCTTCTATTTTTAAAGATTTACTTCCATACCCGGAACAAGGAAAAATATATATTGGCTTTTCAACCCACCAAACAACAGGATGTTGCTTAAATTTGTCAGCTTATTTGGTTCCTAGTGTAGAGCGTGAATCAATTGATTTGGTAAACAAAACTTTGAAAGAGTATAATGAGGGAATATTATATTTGGCAGGAGTACTGTGTAGAATTTTATATGAGAATGAAATGAGTGAAATAAAAAAGCTTTATGAGATGATCGGCAAAGATAACGTCGAATGCGAGCGGCTTGAAAACCATGCTGCACATGTCTTAAGATATTTCACGTTCAATAAAAGTACACCAAAAATATCTGTTAGTGATATCATCGAGAACCAATTTTTCGATTGTTCAAAACAAAGATTGCCGATTCTGTCAACGTGCGGCATACTTCCAATAACTGACGTACGAATGCCTAATTCAAAAATGGAAGGTTTCATAAAAACCATTCCAATTGTTTCAAAATTTGTATTTGAACAATGTAAGCCTTTTTTTGAAAAAGCAAAGAATATAAAGAAAATTATAAAAGATCTATCTTTTCAAGATGTTTTACTTGAATTAAAAAATAGACCGCTATTCGAAATTGAAATGACTGCACTTCTGAAATGGTTGATATCTTATAAGTCGAAGGAAACTAACAACATTACACCGGAGGAATTTGCAAAGTTTATGGAGTTGGCTAGTTTTCTCATTGAAGATAAAATTCGTCGCTTGAATACGATACGTTATGTTATAGATTCGAGTTTGTTACTTCCGGATACGGAAGTTCCTGATTACGTTTTGCCGTATAATATTTCCAAAGATCTTAACGATTCTGAGATTAATGAATGTTTTGGATGGGTTAATCTACCTTTGGTTTATTGGGCTAGGTTTATTGTCGATCATCCAGATTTGGAATCTGAACCTAATTTTGCTGAAAATGTTCATATAATTTTAGCAAGCCGTCTAAAAAAGATGTCCCAAGACGACAAGAAAATAGTTAAAGATTTGTTAATTTGTAAGAGATGTATTCCAACAACAGAAGGCATGAAAAAACCTGATGAAGCTTATTTAGAAACCGTTGATTTATTTCCTGATATACCAACGATTAAATTTAAAAACGACTTTAATTTCCAAGAATTAATGAATCTCCTTGATGTTAATAAAGTAAGAAAATTGTTATCATACTTTTATATTGTGACAATTCTTAAGAATTAATTGTTAAATTAAATTTATTCAATAGGTTATTAAAATAAAATATATTGATTATTATATTTCAAATGAAGAGTATTATGATCCGTTGCAAATTGCAAAATATTTTGGTTCATCATTAAGCAATCTCGAAGAAAGTTATTTGGAAGAATTAAAGGCTAAAGAAATTTGGTTTGCAAATGGGACAGGAAATCTTCCGAATAATAAAGCCCAGCGGTTTGTTGCGAGTGATTTATATATACCACTAGATTTATATCGTGAATTTGGTTTACCTATTATTAACTGGACAGGAAATTGGGATCATAATTCTGATGAAGGTATGTGATTGTTACATTATATTAATATATTGCTAATGGATTCTTGAAATGTACTTATAAATTTAAACCTTTAGCTAAATTCTTAATCAAGTTGGGTTTAATGGAATATCCAACTCTTTCAAAGATTCTTGTACTCTGTACACCATCATCTGAAAGAGAAATTCGTTATAAGGCTCTCGAATATTTTATTAAAAATTTTGAGAATAAATATTTTGATGAGTATCAAGCAGATGAAATAAATATTTCGTTCCTGCCTTGTTCCGAACAAGATAGATATGCCAAACCTTCAGAATGTTATATCAATCCTGATTGCGCGGTAATGGGATTTAATGTGATACACCAAAAATATCGATTTCGAGCTGAAAAACTTGGTTTAAAGCATCATCCTGATCAAAACAAACTTATTGAAATGTTAACTAAGTATTTACCACAATCTGAAGGAAAAGCGAAGGAAATGTTTGAATATTTAGAAACAAGGAAAGATGGATTTGTTAAACTCGAATGGGACTTCCTAAATGGTTATGAGTTCATTCCCACACGTAATAAAGATCACCCTGATATTATTATTCATAAAAGTCCACCTGAATGCTTTTTTAAGAGTCAAGGAAAAATAGAAGATATGGATGAAATGTATGATTTTTTTTATAATATTATCAAAAAAAGTTGTCTTGTTTAAAATACATTCTAAATTAATAAATATTTTCTTTTTTGTTCAGGTTTGATCAATTCCTTTCATTCATAGATTTTGGGGAGAAAGCCAATAAATTTTTACAAAAATGTGGTGTCGAAAGAACTCCATCAGCGGTAACAATTGCTAATTTGTTGGTAAATTCGTCACTTGAAATTTGGAGGTCGGTCGATAATAATATAGAAAAATATAAAAATATTTTGAAGAAACTTTCCGATGATTTTAATACCATAGAAAAAGACAAAGATCTATTTAAAGAGATGAGAGAGAAGCCAGTTTTATTAGGTGTATTAGAAGGAGATAAAGGAAAACAGTATGAATTAAATACTGTTGAGAATATTTATATAAATGACGACACAACATATATGGAAACTTATTGTGATCTTTTATTAACAATTCCAAAAGATTTCCCTAAATCTTTTTATAAAGTATGTTGTCATATTATTATTATTAATGTTTATTTTTTAAATTTAAGTGAATAATAATTTATTTTTTAATTTAGTATTTGGGATGTAAATCATTGAATGATTCTATTGAAGAGGAAGTTGAAATATCAGACTTGACTCGAGAAACGAAAGAATCTAAAGAGTTACAAGAAAAGCTCAATGAAAGAGCTCATTTGTTCTACATTGATCATCCTAAATATGTTATTAAAAAAGATGAAGAATGCCTTAGAAATATTAAAGTAGTAGAGACAAATAGAATTGAAATAAAACTTTTATTAAAAGCCAAAAATCTTAAAAAATCAAAGTCTATATCTGCATATATTCATGAAAATAAAGAAATGAAAATATTTACGCTTTATTTGACATCGAAGCAAGATTATCATGATATTGCAAGAAGTCTAGTCAAATTCATTTATAAATCACATAAATCAATAGATATTAATTATTTGTATATGATACTAAATGCACTAAATGTTAAAGATTTAAAATGTCTTGAAAATGTAAGTCCTAAACAAGATGTTATTTCTGAAGAAGAGCAAGAAAATTATTTGAAAGAAAATGACTCAAAACAAGAAAATCCTAAATCAGAAGATTTATTTAAATCACTAAAAGCAATGTTTGCGGACTGTGAAGACTATTATATTCACCAATGTTTAGAACAAGCAGATGATGATAAACTAATAAATGCTGAAAATCAACTGATGGAAGGGAATTACCCAAAAATTAAGATCCCAGTTGATACCTATCCCTATGACCCACCGGTTACTGTTAAAACTGGAAAAACCTTTATGAATGTAATTCAAATTACTCGTTATAACTTGGGAAGTTATTTGAGTAGTAAACAAATAGTTTATTGTAAAACCATTGAAGAAGGTATGATGAAAATTTTATAATTTACGAATAATTATGTATTGATTCTTATAAATTTGATTTTATTTTTATATTTTTCAGGTCATTCAGATCGTTCATTACAATTTGAGAAATTTTTAGACGGAATAGAATTTTATATTCCAAAAGATATGAAAGATAAATCTGCGATAACTTCAAATCAATCATTAAAGCCATTTGCCAATTTATTAAAGGACCTTATTGAAGTTTTTGAATGCCCGCCAAAGTTTATTCATGCCTTTTATGATAATTCTAACCTAATAACATACAACGAGGGTAGTGCACTATTCTTTAATTTCAAAATTTATATCGATTTGTATAAAGCTGATCCAAAGTTTGATGCAAAGACATACTGGTATATGGTGATCTGTCATGCCTTAGCACACAAATTTGTTGAAGGCCATAATTCTGAATATCAAGTAAGTGTATTTTTTAAAAAGCGTTTTATATGATGTATCACTATATAATTTTTCTTTAAATTTTCTCTAGTACCATTTTTCATCTCTTGTGACAAAATATATGAAAAGTTTAGTTAAGAAAATGATCTAGGAGAATATGTAAAACAGTTTAGAAAATTTTATGATATGATCATATTTATATAATTTTTATAACCAGTTTAACTATACTTTGTACTGAATTATAGTCACGAATATAATATCGTTTATATTACACATTTATTGTTTATGTTCACTTTCCTCTGGCCATGAACAACCTTCCGTCATGTAATAAGCGTTTGCCTTGATTTATTTAATAAATACTGTTAAATTGAATATAATTTCGCCCGGAAACTCCATAATTTCGCGGGGTAAATCGTTTTCGATATTTGCAGTTAGTTCTTAGATCATTTTTGTCATTATAATTTTTTTATAAAAACAAGCCGGAAATCCTTAACATTTCACGCTCGCCCTTATTATATTTTGCATACATACACCTTGAAACCTTCCTTTAAGCCCTTCGTGATATTTTCGCTTTCGCCGTTTTAACTTTTTAATTTTATTATTGTAACTTCGTTTATTTTTAATTTTCAATTTCTTATTATTTAAATTAGAATTTTATTGATTAGCAGACGCTAATTAATTTGATATTATTAAATAAATTGTGTTCATTTTACTCAAAAATTACTCAATAAAATCCTTCTGCTTACATTACAAATACATAAACGAAAAAACTGAATACAACAATAAATCTATAGAGCAGTTTATGTGATAAAATTTATGTTTCCATTTCGGATGATATCCAGAATCTTTTATTTCGCAAGTTTATAGATAATAATTTGTTAAAATAAGACTTTTTAGCTTAATTCATCAATCATTCTATAGTTCTCTATTTATTTTATAACTTTTTTGCGGTCTTGAAACGATTATCTTCTATTCTTTAAAAACGAACGCTAAATAATTGAAGAAATATGCCACATGGTTTAAAATCTAGATATGAGATACTAAATCAACTCGGACTATAAATTAACCTAACAGTTTAGAAAAATAAATGTATAAACAAACAAATAATAGTACACCAAAAAAAACTTTTAAATGCAAATCGCATTTTAAAGTTTTATTTATCTCATGTTCATAACAAAAGTAACTAAGTAAAAAAAAATGGCGAGAATTTATCTTTTGAATTGTGTTCCAAGTGTTTCTTGGATATCATCTAACTGTTTCTTAAGTGCATCTAACTTTTGAATGTCTTGCTTATCCTGAATCCTTAGCATGTTTAATAAATTTTGCTTCATCTCAAAAAATTTATCGGAATTCCATTCACCAGCTTTAATTAGTTCTTTAATTTTTCTACGAGTCTCATCAACATCTGCGTGATAATATCTAATTTAAACACTATGAGTTAACTAATATTTTTACATAAAAATAAAATGGTTTTGGTAAAGACTACAATAAAAGACTTACATCACGTCAGGGAACCAGGTTTTTTTACGTCTCTGATTTGGAAATAAGTAAAATAATTCAATTTCTGCCAAAATCTATATTGATAAATGTTTATTATTAGAAACATAAAATAAAATATACAGTGTTACTTATGAATAAATACCTTCGCCTTTTGTACAAAATACGAAACTCTATTATTATCTTCCTCAATAGCATTACTAAGCAATCCGATCAACAAGTTCATAAGATACACAGCAATTAGTAAAGAGAAAAATACCATTAGTATGGTAAGTTGTGGATTATTCTTATATTCCCAGTTAGATAAAGCATTCGAATCGCCTATTAATCAAATCAAAAAAAAATGTTTATTCAATTATTATTATTAAGATTTAAAGGTTCAAAAATAAAGAAAAAAAATTATACCTGTGAGATATAAATACATTGATAAAAGTGAAGTACCGTAATCAATAAACATGTTTGTATTCAAATCTGGTCGTTGAACAAATGATGAATTAGGTTCAATGGTTCCATTTTCTAGTACTTGATTATAACTATCAGTTAATCCCCAAGGATTATTCGGATCATCATTATTTGCAGGTGGTTCATCTAAACTATAAACCTTTCTTGGTTGTAACAGAATCAAAAAGGCATGAGCGAAACTCAAAAGTATAATACATAAAATAACCAAAAAGGAAGCTATTTTCCTCGCAACACTAACGATAATCACAAAATAAACACCAAATAATTCGAATGCTCTAAAAAACAATAAAAATTTAAAATCTAGAAAGAGACATGAAATTGAAAGCCAAAAAAAAGGTTTGTCATCGGTACATAACCAATAAATAGATGTAATAGTAGGAACTAAAAACGCTACCAAATCTTAAAAAAAAATTCCAAAATATATTAATACCCGATGGGTTTGTAATATTTGTGATGAATAAATAAATAATTCTTACCAAAATAGTTCCAAGGATCAATAAACCATTTAATAGGATCATAAATTAACTGACGAATCTCGAAAGTGAAATGAGTAAATCCAAGAACAATTGAGGCGATTAAAAGTCGAGTTCTAATATCTTTAGATACAAGATCTTCAGAAAATGTTGAAGCAGCCATAAAGCAACCAAGAAAAGCAACAAATTTCATCCAAATTGCATAATAATAATATTTTCCATATGCATTCCACTTGAAATTAATTAATGCTTCACCATTCCAAGTTTTATATATTTCTCTATTTATTGTTTCTACAAATGGACTAGGTTTAGGCCTAAATAATTCCCACCAACTATAAACTTCCGGATAACTAACAAATTTGATATAAGGAATAACAAAAGTGACAGTAGGCATCAGTTTTTCGGGAAATATTGATTTGGATATGTAATAATAACATTTATAATAACACTTAGAAAGTCTATCAACGTAAATTTCATTAATCAAATGAAAATAATTTAAAATATGAAATAATGGAAAAGAAATAGGTAATGTCAAAAAAAATGTTGCAATTTGAATTGCAAAATAAAACCTCGTTAGCAACTTAATTATTCTCCTTCCATCATGATAATACATGTCATCCACTTTAATAGTATATTTTGTCCAAGCAATAGATGGTGTTAAATCAACTATTTCCATATTGGAAAAGGGATAAAGATGTGAAGTATCAAGATGTTCGATCTTATATTCAACAGAATCTATTATCATGTTTGTATCTGAAGAATATCTTGCAATATATTCTGGATAATATTTTTCCAATAATGGCATTGATGTATTAATAATGCTTAAAAATCCTTTATTGCTTTCTAAATCTCGATTAAAAAGATATAAACACCTTTGATAAATACCATCTATTAAATCTGAATCGTGTACTTTAATCGCAAACATTAATAGTGCAGAACCATAATTTAAAAATTCTTCATTATTCTCTTTAACATATGAAACCCATCCATAAATTAATTCATCGTTATCTTTTCTACACATTTTATCAACTTTTGGGTATCCAGGTAATTTACAGATATTTTCAATAATTTTCTCCGGTTGGTATGTATAATAAAAATAATCCAAAGAAATTGAACTTTCATCAATATTTAAATGGAAAATGACAATGCCAATTTCCGTTAACAGAGCAATTTCTTTATTCTTTAATATTTTGTAAGCAGATATTTTGATATTTTCTATATCTTCGTCGTTGCAATCTTTATCCCTTAAATATTTATCTGCGCCAAATAAACGAATCAAATCTTCATTAACTTCTAAATAAGTTTTGGTTATTTTAATTTTAAATTGATTAGGATCTTTCGTTAATTCCATTATCTTATTTATCCGTTTAGTAAAATCTTTCATTAATTCCCCAATTTTATTTTTCCATTTACCATGATCTTTATCTTCTTCAATTATAGTTAGTCGTTCAATAAAATCATTTAACAACGCTTGGCTAATTTTAATATCCAATTTAGTCATACTTTTCATTTTAATAAATTCTTCGATTGGATTTTTATATTTATCTATTCGACTTTCAAGATTATTCGAATTTTGTTTAATATCAGATAACGTTTTAATAAAATTTTGTATATCTTCAATAATATCAATATCCATCTCTTTATTAAGGGTATCCTCGATTTTAAATTTTTGTTTCTCTAATCCATCAATTTTAATTTTCCATATGATAGAACCTTTATCTAATTGATATACTAAAATATCATCTTGCTGATTAAATGATTCAGAAGTTTTTCCGTTATATTCAATTCTCTGAATATGTCCATCTACAATTACAAATCTATAATTTTTGGACACAGAATCATAAAATAAGTTCGGTAACTTGAAATCAAGTTTGTTTAATTGATTATTTTTCTTGAAGCAAACTTCATGACATTTAGTTTTAGAATTCCAAATCAAAGGATAATCAAATAAAGAAAGTAACAAGCAATGATGATGATTCATAAAGTTACATAGTAGTTCATCTAAAAGTAGATAAAAATACAAAATTCTTTAATAGATTGTATAAATTATTAATTCATTACATTAAGATTAAAATTTATAATTTATACCATCATTTAAATCCAGTGACGTAGTAGAAAATCCAAGTTTATTTGAATAAATGATAATTTTTTCATCGTTCACTTTCAGACAAGTAAGTTCTTTATTATTAGAGATTCTAATATCCTTTGTTTTAATCTGCTCAATTGAAGAAATAAAGTTAGCAATAAATCTTTAACAGATGATAATTTAAAATTTATTAATTACCTCATATATATTTTTTAATATAATTGTAGTGTGACCAGTACGAAGGTTCCATTCATATATATTGTGATCTAAACGCAGCCAAATTTTATCATGCTTTGATATGCTTATGACCTCCGCTTCTCTAGGTATCTTATAAATCTGTTGACATTCACTTTTTTTAGGTTGAGATGTCTTCTTTTTAGCTTGTATTGAGTAAATACAAACAATACTTATATAATCAAATTTAATGTTTGTTCTAATAGTACAAATTATAATCAGTTTTCCATCTTCGTTAAAGTCACAAAATAGTACCTCCATTGCATCAAATTCAAAATACAATTTGACTTCTTGAAGTTGTTCATCATTCATATCAATGATTTCTAATAAGGAAGTTCGTCATGAAATGTTCTTTATCAATTATTAATTAACAAAATAGTCATTATACTTACTAATTTTATATTTATTATTAATATACGCTAGTATCTTCTCATCAGAGACACACATGTGGAAAACCTTTTCACATCCTGTTATAAAATGGTCCTCCTTTATATCCTCTCCATCAACTATATTTTTATCTTCGACATTCCACCCGACGATTGTTTCGTCCTTTTTACTGTAACTAATAAGATAATTTCCGTTTGGTGAGATTTTCATCATACTAATGTTATGTGATGATGATTTTTGTGACTTCTCATCACGTAGCACATCAATAGAATAAGCCTCATCGCTCATTTCAGTAGTAAGAATTAAATCCTTTTGATTTAAGAGTTAAGTAATGGAACGAATTAACAGAAAAAGAAAAAAAAAAAAAAAAAAAAAAATGGTGTAATAATAATAATTATGTTGTGCAACCCGAAAAATGAAGGATCGCCAAAACATAACCTTAATTCTAAAAGATGTTTTTTTGCATTGCACAAATTAGATCCTCCCGAAGAGTTTCTTTGTTTTTTATTGTCCGAAGCATAGCGAAGGATCTTTTACTTCTAAGATGCAATGTCGTTCTGTCCTTAGTGTTTTAAGCCGACTGTATAGCGGTAAACTGACTAAGTTTTCGGCCAAGTCATCAACTTAGCCGACTAAGTCATTCAGGGGTTAATGCAGGGTATCCGGTATTTGCATATCGCATTTTGTGCATTTTCATGCTACGAAAAAACATTCAATACGGTTAAATTTAAAACGAAATATATTCAGTACGGTTAAATTTATTTATATTCAAGATTTTTTTTTAATTTTTGTGACTAATTAATGAATAAAAGCTGGTTTTATTTATTGTAAACAACATGATGATTTAAAATTTTTTATTTGAATAAAGTGTAACTAAATGATTATTTTCTTTTAAAACAACAAATCATGAACAATGTTTGGGTTTAAGCGATTCCTTTGTCAATGATAATATTATCTGCATCGGAAAAGAGTCTTTCAGATGGGACAGAATCTACAAGCTTGCATGGATAATAAAGGAAAAGTATCTTTTCTTTTATGCCACCATTGTAAGGGATCATGAAGATGATATTGAGGGTGATTCAAAGGTAAAACAGATAAGGTAGGAAGTTGTAAATATAGAGAGATTTCTGTATCAACTGGGGATGTAAGATGTTGGGAAGATATATTGTAATTAAAAAAAATCTAAAAATATGGAAGTGGAATTTGAAAAAATAGGTGCTATATACAGTGACAGAGGGGTTTCTAATACTTTAATTCGCCTTTTCAAATTTTGTTTAGTAGTTTCTATTTGATCCATAAACAAAAAAGTTAAAGATTTAAATCGAGGATCCAAAAAACTAGGAATGTTCTGACATTTAGATAAAGATTTCAAATTTTCATTATATATTATTTTGATTTATAGGTTTTTAATGTTGTAAATTATATTTTTAAGATAATCTCTTAAACAGTACAAAGTTGGATATCATAATGAAAGAGTTGGATATGTGCTGCCTGATGTAAGATTAGTTGCATTTACAAATGGTCGAAGTAATAAAAAATCAATAAAATGTATTATTTCTCAAGCTTAATATTACTTTTAAGAATATAGTACTAATAAATTATTTTCTCAAAACAAATAATAATATATTTCTTGAATTTAATATTAGAAAATCTATTTTAAAATACTTAATTCATTGATTACTTAATAAGGAAATTTTATTATAAAATTGATTTTTGTTTATAATTTCTTAATTTAGAATAAAATTAAATTATTACTTAATATATATTGATTCAAAAGAAATGTATTATATAATTAAAATTTTATTATATTATATAATAACTGTTTGTTTTATTTTAATTTATTTTTAATTTTCATTTTTTATAAAAATTATTATAAATTTTTATTTATTTATTTTTTTTAAAAATCTATACAAATATATTTAATATTAATATATCTATTAGTAATAATATTTCTTTATTTCTGAATTTTTAACAAAATATAATAGTATTATTTTTAAAAATGCTAAACTTCAACAAAAAAAAAATAAAAAACTAGCTATCCATAAAAAAATTATTTGAAATAAATAATAATATTATATCATATTTAACCTGCCAAAATATTTTTTTTAAAAAAAATACTGGAATCATCCAATATTTATATGACATTAAGAATTAATTATATATTAAAAAGTCAATAATTTATGGCATTTGATAAAAAGCTAATCAATATAAAAAAAAAATAATTTAAAATAATCAATTAATATAATTAAATAAGCCAAATTATAAATAATATATTTACTATCTATGCCATCTTTATCATGCATTTTAATTTGTTTGAAAATTTGTTGAATCTTTTTTTTTATATTTGCTTTAAGAATTTTAAACATATTGTATCTAATATTAATACAAAGGAATAGTATTCAATATTTTTATAATATAAAAATTACTAATTATTAAAAATTATAATTTAATATCATAATTGAAAATAAAAAATTTACTTTTTATAATATATACAGCATAATTTAAATACATATTGTAAATGTTTCTTAACTTTATATACAGTATTTTATATATAGAATCCATTTTTAAGACTTTTTTAAACTAACTGTTTGGGATTTATCTAAATCAACTAATATATATATTTAATTATTATTATATATAAGCTAAAAAATAAATATATTTATTGAATAATTTTTCAATTATTTTAAAAAATGCTTTAAATATTCACTAATATACTTCTTTAATTGTAATATTAATAAAAATACTATAAAAATAAAATTATAAATGTTAAAAAATATATTATTAAATAAAAAATTAGCAAAGCTAACTAGTTTTAGATATTTTATCATATGTATTAAATTTCAGTTTATTAATATTATCATAAACTCTTTTAAATGAAAAGTTAACTTTAAAATAATTATATTTAATGTATTTTACTGCTTACTTATTGATCATATTATTATTAAAAAAAACTTAAAATGCAATAAATATAAATACAATAATATTATAAAATAATAATAAATATATAAACATTTTTACTTACTAATTTTTGTATATAATTTTTTATTTCTTAAATATTTTGATAAAAATTATATATTATACTAAGAATTTCCTGACTAAGTGAATTTTATTATTTTGAACATGTACAATTAAATATTAAAATTTATTAATATTATTAATAGATATATTTATTTTAGTAATCATATTTATTCTAAATCACTTTTAAGTAAATTGTCTAATTAAAAAATATTAAGTAAAGAATAGAGCTCTAAATTAGATTAAGTTAATTTATTTACTTAATCTAACCTACAAAATTTAGATCAACTAATTATTCTTAAATGATAGTTTTATCATTTTTAAATGATAGTTTTATTATTCATGAATAATAATTTATTCTTTTTAAATGATAATTTTATCATTCTTAAATAATATTTTTATTATTCTTAAATGATATTTTATTGTTCAATTAAAATAATTTATTATTATTATTGAATAATATTTTATTATTCATTCAATTAGAAATATTTGTTATCATTCTTGAATAATTGTTTTATCATTCTTGAATAATAATTTTATTATCCTTTAATAATAGTTTTATCATTCATGAATAATATTTTATTATTTAATTAAAATGATTCATTATTATTTTTAAATGATATTTTATCATTCAAAAAATGATGCTTTATCATTCTTAAATGATGTATTTATCATTTTTAAATATATTTTATTATTTTTCTTAAATGATTCATTATTGTTCAAATAAAAATAAAGAAATTAGTTAAATGAATTAATTGTTTATTATATTATTATTTATATTAAATATTTTTTAATATTATTTAAAAGTAAATAAGAAAAAATTTTCTTTTAAATCAGATCAGATCAGCTCAAATAAAAATTTAAATCAAATCAAATTTTTATTTGATCTGATTAAATCCTCTTAGATTAAATAATTTATTTAATCTAATTTAAACTAACCTGTTCAGAAATCTATCTAAAAAAATAAAAATAAAAAAATTTAAACTAATTTGATATTAATTATTATGCAATTATATCAATAAATTGATCTTTGATATTTTTAATAAGTTTTTTTTTAATTCTAATATAATACAAAAGAAGTTTTAAATAATAGTAATAGTAATATATATGAATTCCTTTATATAATAAGATTATAAATAGATATTTTTGTAAATTTAAAGTATAAGTATTTTGAATTCAACTAAATAAGTAATATTTTATAATTCTAATTATTAAGTTAGATTTTAAGGTATCTTAATAAAATAATTATTAATATTTTTATTTTAAAAAAATTAATATCCATTTTATTAATAAAATTAATTTTATCATAATATTTATTGTGATTGCTTAAAAGATATAATATATTGTAATTTGTATTATCTTATAAAATAATAAAATAATTATATTATTATATACTAGAAAATAATTTTAGAAACTTTTATTAAGTTTGAAACATAAGTATAATGAAAGAACCTAATCATATATTAATTCAAAATTTGAGTAGACAGATATCAAGATATCAAAATGTATAAAACATAAATAGTCTTTTGTTAATACTCTAAACTAATAATTAATATAAATATAATAATAATATATTAAAAATACATACCTTTCAATTTAAAATTCTTCCTTCATTTACAAAAAAAAAAATTTTAAAAGGTTAACATCTACATTTGTAAAAACATATAATCTTTTTTATTTTATTTTCATTTATCACATCCTATAAATTCACTTTATAGATTGTAATATAAACTAAATAATATTTAATTTTTGATTTACCATTATAAAAATATGACATTTTACAGTAAAAAGAAAAAACTATCAAAAATATTTTTTGGTACAGTAGTGGCAGAAAAAACTGACAGTAAATGAAAATTTATTTACTCAATCAATATTTGTTAAAATTGTTCAAAACTTAAAATATAAATAAACTAATATCACATTTATTATATATTAAAATTTTAATATTGAATTATATTGCCATTCCTTTCAATTACCAAATTTACCTTCCTTTCCATACTATTGACTAAATTAAGGCAGAGGTTTTGATCGATATTGAACTATTCGTCCTTAATAATTTCTATAAAAATCTTTTGCATAATCAGTTTTTTTTCACTAATTTATTTATTGACCTTCTTTTTCACCCTTTTCTTGATAATTGCCCACAAATTTTCTATTAGATTCAGATCTGAAAAATATGATGGTTAATTAAGAACTGTAAAACATCGATTTTTGAGAAAAGATACAGTAAACTTGGCTTTGTGCTTTAGATCATTGTTCTGTTAAAATGTTCA